TGATGTTCCTAGTCCTTTAAAGATTATTTTATTTCATTTCACAGGTCCCCTGTTATGGCTGGAGGTCTGTTTGCTGTGGATCGAAAATGGTTTTGGGAATTGGGTGGCTATGATCCAGGTTTAGAAATCTGGGGAGGAGAACAGTATGAAATCTCTTTTAAGGTAAGCCGCAAGACCCTCTAACACTGTGTCAGGATAATTGTGACAATTCTAACAAAATATCATCATTTTCCATTCTGTCCTATGTGGCGAGAAGCCTTAATAATGAAAATAGTTATTGCTTTCCCAAGTCAGCTTTTAGATGACAGAAGTGACTTCCTTCTGATGTTTATATAGCAATGTTGTTGTTGTTGTTGTTGCTATTTGCCGTCGAGTCAGCCCCGACTCATAGCGACCCCTCCTTGAGTTTCCCAGGCAGTATCACTACGGAAGTAGGATTGCCCAACCTTCCTTCCGAGGAGTGGCTGGTGGTTTGAACTGCCAGCCTTTTGGTTAGCAGTCAAGTGCCTTAGGCACTATGCTACCAGAGCTCCTATATAGCAATGTAGCCACATGATTAAAAAAATGTAATAATTCAAATAAGTCTGTTTTTCTGTTTTTATCTGAAATTACCCTAGGTCTGTACTTGCTTTGTCCATAAACTCTCACTAAAATTATATACCTCATATATGTAATGATATAAATATTATATATGATATATATGTATATGATAAAGTATCAAATTATAACGTTTATAAATGAAAAATATTTCCCACAACATGTAAAGAAAAGATAAACAAAGCAAAAAAAAAAAAAAAAAAACTGTGCAAAAGGTTGTACTCCAGGGAAAAGTGCTAGGTAAGTAAGAGACAAGTATTGATTTGGGTGAAGGGAAAGGCAATATATCAAATGTGCTTGAACATTTGAATATAGTTTTAAAGGAATTCAATAGATTTTGAATAGTTTGAGCCATTATTTGAGTTTCAAGTATAATTTTTGACAGAAAATCTCAATGTCTGAATCATAAAGATCTGTCTAATCCAAAACGCCACATAACGTGGATGAACTTGGAGGACATTTTGCTGAGTGAAATAAGTCATTCATAGAAGGACAAATATCGTATTAGTACACTGTTGTAAAAAGTCAAGGAAAGGTTTATGTATGGAAGGAAACTTTTTTTGTTGGTTACCAGGGATGGAAGAAGAGAGGAGGAAAAATTGCTAGATAGGTAAGAGACAAGTATCAATTTTGGTGAAGGGAAAGGCGATATACCAAAAGTGAGGGACCAATACAATAACATTAAGAAGAAGGAAGATACAAAGAGGTGCACAAGAGATACAGGCAACAAAAATAAACACTTTTACAAACACAGTACTACATTATCAGTAATAACAAATTGATCTATAGGTGGATACATAGGTAAACGGGCAAAGTGATCAGGTATGGATAGGCAAAAGAGAGTATACCCTGACCATATATAAGTTTGGCAGATAATATTTCTTCTTATGTATCTGTAAGTGCTATAAGAATGCCCATAAACATAATAGAGCTAACAGAGGACAAAGTTCAGATAACTTCTTAGCCAAAGCCAAACACTTTGAGGGAGGGAGTTGCTTGACCAATAGACTTGAGACCATGGTCACGAGGGACATCAAGCTCAGTTGGCATAACATACTATATCCTACCTTGGTTAATCACAAGTGGACTCTTAAAAGTTTGTGAGTGGCCATCTAAAATGAACAATTGGTCTCTCTTCGTTCAGAGCAAAGAAGAGTGGAGAAAATCAAAGACACAAGGGGAAAAAAATAGTCCAAGGGACCAGTGGATCACAGGGAACCTAAGCTTACATGACTCTGAGGCCAGAAGAATGGGATGGTGCCCAGCTACCAATGCCAAAGGAGTCAAAATTGGAAATCCTGGATAGCGTGGGAGAAAAATGTGGAATGAAACTCAAAATCATTAAAAAAAAAGACAGGCTTACTGGTCTGACAGAGACTGGTGAAACTCCCGAGACTATGGTCCCTGCTCAGCCTTTGGGCCTGGAATTTAAATTCACTCCTCGTGGCTTCCAGCCAAATAATAAACAGGCCTATGGGATGGGGTGAAGGATTACACCAGGTAGGGTACTCCTTAGTACAATCAACCATGGGTGATTAGAAGGGCAGCAGTTGCACAAGGAGATAACTCAGAGGGCAAGAATGGAAACAAAAAAAAAAAAAAAAAAAGATTATACTCCAAATTGCCAAGATGTATTTAAAGGTAGTCTCAGAGAGGAGAGGGTACAAAAGGGTAATTTTTCTTTATTTTTTTCCTTTATCATACTCATTACTTATATAGAAGCATAAAATTAATTCTTGCAACATTTGACATACAGAAATCTCCTACAAAGTAGATCAGGCTGTCTTAATAGCTTCCATTATAAAATCAAATCTGATTATTGCTGAGGAAAATATTGCATCTTAATGTAGCAAAAGTCACACTTCAGAAGAATACAGAATATCTTTTAAACTTTATATAGAAAAATCAAATGATAAAATGATATTTATAAAACTGTAACAGTTATGTGCTATGTGTCAATGGAAATGTTATGTCCTCAAAGTGTGATAAAATAAACACTCCAAAAGAGAAACTTAGGAGTCATGATTGAAGGCTTTAAGACATAATTGAAGGCTTTAAGACATCTAGAATGCTTCCTTTCAACTATGCTGGCAATCATCCTTGAAACACCATTTTTTAGATTAGTGCTTTTGTTTCACTATCAATTAAATCACATCTAAAGTAGCTTTGTGTTTTGGGTTGTTTTACCTTTTTTTCAAACTTTGAATTTACAAATGTCTGTTGGGTTCTGTTGTACTCTTTGTTACAGGGTATGTGGCAAAAGATATAATAACTTAGAATTATGTGCCAGATATTGAGCTAAGCGCTTTACATGTATTTATACTGCATAACTTAGTATTATATACTTTAAAATAACAACTCTAAGAGGTAGGTATTACTAGTTTACAGAGGAAAAAACTCAAAATTAAAGAAATTAAATAAACTACCTAGTATCATTGAGTAGCCCTTGTTGTATAATGCTTAAGTACTTGGCTGCCAGCTGGAAGGTTGGTAGCTCCAACCCACTAGGCTCTCAGGGAAAAGATGAGGCAGTCTGCTTCTAAAGACTCAAAAAAAAAAAACAACTCACTGCCATCCCTTGGAAACCGTATGTTGTGGTTCTACTTTATCCTATAGGGTTGCTATAAGTCAGAGTCAACTTGATGGCAGTAGGTTTGATTTGGGTTTTTGGTAGTGTCAATGAGGGATTAAAATGCTCCATTTCTGCCTTAAGTGTAGCAAATGCAGAAATTTAGCACCCAAGTTGTATCTACAGACACAATTGCTAACTTCACTGTTAACCTTTTGATCTTTGTATGAGGATTGCTCTCACAGAAGCTGCTGTCTTCATTATAATTTAATAACACAGCAGAAAATGTTATGCCAAAATACAATTTTTTATCAGATATATCCTAGATGTTGTTGTTGTTTTTGCCGTCGAGTCGGTCCCGACTCATAGCGACCCCTCCTTGGGGACCCCTTCCTACGGAAGTAGGATTGTCCTAGATATTAGCTGGATGCAAATTTTACAAAAATACCTTCTGGAAAAAACAAATACAAAATTTGACCCCAGCTATAAAGAGAGGAAAAAAAAAAAAAAAAAACATAGTATTGCTCTATTTACAATATTATCAGAATTCAAGGGATACCTTTTATTAATTTACTTTTCACAGTTCAAGGATTTTTTTTTCTTAAATTATCTTTATTCATGAATTCTCCAAGTTTAAAATGCTATTAAGGAAATTTCTATTAAATAAGAGATACCTGGCTTTGAATAATGAACCGGGTGAAGGATAAAATTGCTCTTGAAAGTCTAGAGAGTTGGCAGAATGTATTTTTGCATTGTAAATCACAAAGGTGTTTTTTAGACAAATATAAACTTGCATTTCTCACTTCTCTGTCACTTGTATCATCACATCTCTTCTGGGTGACCTGAGATTTTATTACCCCATTTCCTATTTTTCAGTTATCTGTCATTCTGAAGGATATAATTGGAATCCAGCCTTGTCATTGTGGTCTAGAAACCATGGCAACAGTGCTGGAAGTTCAGGACTAAATTGCCCCAGGTTGTTTAGTTGGAATGATAGATTCTTTGGCAACAGCTATGTCTTACAGGGTCCCATTCTAAATGTAGCCCTTCATTCTTCTTACTATTGTGTGCTGACCTTGGGGTTCCTGTCCCTCCCTGTTAGTGTTTTTAACATGAGGGACACAAACTTAACCAAACTTTGGTAAAATTTGTATTGGAGGCAAAAGAATTTTTTCCACGTGAAATGTATCAATAGAGTTGTACACAATTAGCTCTGTTAAGTGGTAATAAAAATAAAGGAAAAAAGTCAAACTACTGCATTTTTTACGTGTCCCATAAGGTGTGATTAATTTTACAGTGTGTAAAGCACTGTAAGATAAACATTGGTCAGCATTTATAGCTAAGGTAATATATATGATAATTGAGAGTTCCCTGTTGTTGTTATGTGCCATTGAGTCAGCCCCGACTCATAGCAACCCCTCCTTGGGTTTCCAAGGCAGTATCACTGTAGATTGCCCAACCTTCTTTCCAAGGAGTGGCTGGTGGGTTTGAACTGCCAGCCTTCTGGTTAGCAATCAAGTCCTTTAGGCACTATGCTAGTCTATATCATACTATAAGATAGAAATTGTTTTTTTTAAGTCTACAATTTAAATTCAAGAGGATTTCTATGACCTGTAGTTATCAGTCATTTTTATCTATTGTTTTCTTTCCAACCAGAGAATCATCTTAACAAAGCTTGTAATAGGATTCCATCATTGAATACAAAGATTTCCTGCCTTTATATTAAGAGCTCAGTTTTGGGTCAAATGGTATTTGGATAGGAGTTCTCCTCAACCCTTTTTCTCTATAAATACATTTCCTTCCTTTTTCTAAGATCTGACTAGATGAGTAGAATTCATACCGTAACATAAAAGCCAGCATGTTAGAATTTGCAGGAGTCAGTGGAAGAAAAGAGCTCTCTAGAGAAATTCTCTCTTTGCAGTGTGCCCAGTCTTCAGTCTTTTATAACGCGAATCTGGAGTCTTACGTGGCCAAGAATTATCCAGCTGTCTTTCAA